CCATTGTAATCCAAGTGTTCATATTTCATTTGATACGGTTTTATTTATTAATAAGTGTTAATTTTCGTGTTGGAAGGAAAGCATTATTCATTGTTCGATTTGGAAGAGAACTATGGAATCCAGAGAGCAAAATGCGATATTAGAAGCAATTTTCGGCAACAATGAAGATATTGTTTGAAATTGAATTTGGCATGAGTCAAGTGTATGTATAATAACTATCATATAATTAAATTAAAATATTGGATTTGTTCTTGGTAAGAAATCAAATAACAAATCCAATGTTTTAAAAATATGTCATTGGAATTTGATTTTCAGACTTAACGATGAGAGAGAGAATTAAATGAAATTTGAAATCATTCTCTCTCTCACTATTCAATCATTTTTTTACTTTTAATTTAACAAGGATAAATATGTCTTTGTATACATGGATCACCTTATAAAAAGTCAAATATATCTCTATTTTATCCCGATCAGTTGATCCAACAAGCATTTTTGTTATAATAATGTTATGGACACAGAAGTTTTACACTGAAATTTTGCACCGAATGACGTGTCACCTAAATAGATGCAACCATGTAGTACATTGACAAATATTCTGCGAATAAACGATCGTCCATCAAACATGGATGAACATCCATGATTATTGGACGGCCGTTCAATTTAAATGAACTCCTGTCCATAATTTAAATCAAAAAAATTTTAAAACAAAATTATGGACGCGGGCGTCCCTATTAGAAAAAAAAATTGTATGTTTACTTCCTGATTCATTTTTCATGATTGAAAAGCATAGGAAAGCCACACTGTTTCCTAAAAAGTTTTAAGTAAAGGATTTTTTAGAAACTTTTGTCTTGTAATTGAAAGTAACATATACTTTTCTATGTTTTGCAGTGATTGCAAATGGTCTTTGTAAGCAATTGTGCTTGAGAATGTTTCCGCAGTTATCTAAAGTTGATAATGTAGTTGAACCAAGCTATAGGTTGAAAGAGCCTGCTGAAGGTGCATTCGAAAATTTTGTGAAAAGGCCGAGTTCGAAGAGTGAGAATAGAGTTTATACCTTTTTAGCTCGAGGTCGTACATCATTTCCTACTAGGGATTGATTTTTGAGCCAATCTATGCTTCCAGCACTGATAATTATCCCGAGGAAAGCATTCACAATACTCTGGAACCTAGCGAGAGAGTTGCAAGGAGAGATTCATACTGGTCAAGTAAATGACATAGCAATCCTGCTGTGCCTAAGACAGTGATATATAAGTTGGTTGGTGATCTGTGTGTTATTTCTAAAATCAACATACAACCTTTCCATGACATCTACACCTCAAGTTTCAATTAGTGAAGCTTCATCATCGGTAGACAGCCATTTTGACACCGTTCCACCACGCTTCTTTGATTTTCTCGGGGTAGAAGCCACATGAAGTTAAGAAGGAATGAAAAGCCAAAAAAGGGTCATTCAAGGAATCATCAAAAGAAGACCTTAATATTGATGCACTTAATGATTGGTGATAAACCATTAGAGGTAAAAGAGAAAAGATTTTTGTTTCAGTTGGTGACAGTGCATTAAGCTTTTGTTTTTTTTTTTTTTTTTTTTAATAGGGATACTGGTCCATTTATTATGGACGGGCGTTCATTATTTTTGTTTATTTTTTTTTTAATTTAAACCATGGACTACAAAAGAATTGAAAAGGAGAGTATGCGAGAACTGATTCCTCTGTTTTTCATTGAGTATGATATAAACTGTACAACTATATAGAAAAGAGCGATTACAATGGATGCCTACATTTACGTGAATAATTAAAATTAAAAGATTACAGCTATACAATCTTATAACAGAAATGTAGGATCGAATCTTCCTCATTTGTTAGGCTCCTGATTTGTTGTTGAGAGTTCACCAAATCTGTTGCTATGATTTCAGTCATTACCGTTGCTGCATATCTCAATATTCAGATCTTCAATATCTTCAGCCTTTAATTCCATTACATTGACTTGATTCTCTACATGGATGGGTGTCAATTTTAGGTGAACGTCCGTTCATAGTAAATAGACTCCCGTCCATATGATATGGATGGAGTCCATTGTTTTTTTTGTATGGACAACAATCAATTTAAAATGAACGACTGTCAAATAATCATGAAGGCTCGTCTATATTTGATGGACGATCGTTCATTCACGGAATATTTGTTAATGTGTTACGTGATTGCGTCTACTCATGTGACACGTCGTTCAAAGCAAAATTTCATTGTAAAACTTCGGTGTCTGCAATATTATTATTTTTGTTAAGTATATAAATATACAACGTATGGTATTAGTTTCATCGAATTAGCCATCAACGTTCTAGTTTCTACTTGGCTTAGGTTTATTGAACGAGCAATAAATAAGGTACAAAAGCAACACAAAATATATATAAAATTAGAGTATTCGTATGTTTCAAAATGCGTGAGGATTAGTAATTAGCCTGGGGAAATTCGATGAAATTAATATCAAAATTGAAGTACCAATCAATAGAAAACAACTAATGATAGAGCAACCATCACGTATATAAAACAGTCTTGCAGCTAATTGTACAAACAATAATGCTACGGACACCGATATTTTTACACCGAAATCTTGTATCGGCCTATGTGTTCCATGATTCACACCAGCAAACCAGATACATTTCACGTTATTAAATTTTTTTCTGGTGAACGGCCGTTCATCAAATATGGATGACCGTTCACTTATATGGACTCCCGTCCATATTATATGGACAGAGGTCCATTTACTATAGACGGGTGTCCCCATTTAAAGGATGCCCGTCTATCAGTAAAATGGAATAATTTTTTTTTTATAAAAATTAGGAACAGTCGTTCATAGGTTATGGACGACTGTCTCTAAATATTGGACAGACGTTCATATTTTAATGGATGCCCGTCCATTAACAATTCTCTTTTTAAAAAATTAAAAAATATTTAGAGACGGTCGTCCATTAGTTATGGACGGCCGTCCCTTAATTTTGGATAAGCATCCGCAAATAAGGATGTCCGTCCATAATGTAAATATAAAAATTAAAAAAAACTTTGGACGCCGGTCGACAACTTATGAGCCAGCTCTGCAGCTTCTTCTGGAGATGCATCTTTAAGCAATCCATCCAAACCCAACTTCTGCAACTGATCTTTGTATTTGTCAAATTTGGATAGGCCATTGAGACGCTGCTCCTCCATCTCCTCCCACATCTGCATGCCCTTCTCCATGCTGTCCTCAGCCTTGTTATAAAGCTCCAGGACCTCCTGGGATGGCCCACTCTCTAAATCAATTTTGCTCCCAATTGCATGGTACCAGCAAAGCTTTGAAGATGGTACGCGAGAATCCATACTTGTTCTGGTTAACACTGCCTACGAGTGGGCAAACAATGAGTACATTAAGGCAGGAATCAGGTATGAAGAAGCTCTGAAGATGAAACCAGACTTCTATGAAGGTCTTCTGGCGCTTGGGCAACAACAGTTTGAGCAAGCAAAGCTTTGCTGGTACCATGCAATTGGGAGCAAGATTGATTTAGAGAGTGGGCCATCCCAGGAGGTCCTGGGGCTTTGATTTAGAGAGTGGGCCATCCCAAATTTGACAAATACAAAGATCAGTTGCAGAAATTGGGTTTGGATGGATTGCTTAAAGATGCATCTCCAGAAGAAGCTGCACAGCTGGCTCATCAGTTAAGTTGTAGACAGACGTCCCTTATTTGTAGATGTCTGTCCAAAATTAAGGGATGATCGTCCATAATTGATGAACGACCGTCCTTAACCTATGAACGGTCGTCCCTAATTTTTATAATAAAAAAATTATTCTATTTTACTGATGAATGGGCGTCCTTTAAATGGGGACACCCGTCTGTAGTAAATGGACCCCTGTCCATATAATATGAATGAGAGTCCATGTAAGTGAACAGCCTGGTGTGAATCACGGGACACATAAGCCGGTACAAGATTTCGGTGTAAAAATACTGATGTCCGTAACATTATTGAACATATTTATAAGCTTTGTAAGTTACTCAAATAGTTTGGGTGTCTAGTAGTAGTTGGGGACAAAAAGAAAAGGGCATAATATTGACTTATATGCATCAACTTTACATTAAACAATTGTACTGTAGTTAAAACCATAGAACTTGTATGAACACATCTTATTCAAGGAATAACGCATCGGAAAGTCCTTATTTAAATGTAACATTTTACTATTTTAGCGTTAATGCATCAAAACCTAGTTAACAATCCCGAACTGATGTGCCACTCCCCATTTGAAATAAAATTTTTAGTGTTTATCTAATCACAATTATGCATACATATAAAAGTTAAAAGAGTTAATGCATCGATCCCCTCAGAGGCTTTTTGTTATTTAATAAAACTTCACAAGGATTATTGTCATTTAATTCTATATATTATGTATATTAATATAGTACTTCATTCATCGTGTATCACTTATTTAATTTCTGTAAACTTCATAGTTCATACAGGCCTTTTCGCTGAATATTAACAGAAATTTGTCTATTTTAAAATTTAAACATAACATATACTTTTATTAGTTAAACCTAACATCAAGGGTCAATTACCAATTAGTAATATAGCTTATTTGTGCCACCAATGCATCTGCACGTTCAAAAATTGATTGTAAATGTTCATTTCTTGAATTCATTTAGTTAGAAATAAACTGCAGAAAGAAAACAAATACTGGAATTTAGATGGAGCTAAAATTTCTCAACACTAGACTGATTGATTGCCCAAGAAAATTCATCAGAATTCTTATCAACATTACAATTACATCAACATAACAAAAAACTTAACATTATAAATCACCTGAGGCTTCACTCTTTTAGTAATTGCAGTCACCTTATTCATCACTTGACTCTGATTGTGAAATTAAATCAGCACTCATGACTAATAAAAAATATTCCTACGCATTGTGTGCTGCATGCAGGTTTACAATACAATACAATACAGCCCAAGAAGATGGGGTTAAATGATGGGAGGTAAATTTTGCCTAGACAAATGGTCTTCTTCTAATTGGGATGACAAGTACTGTGTATGGTTGCAATTTCAGAAGAGATTGATCTAAGCAGTTGCACTAGCCAATTCTTTTGCATGTGTTGCTGGAACAATTTCCTGGGGCTGCATGCAAATCCAAAAGATCAGAATAAATAAATTTATATTGTTTTGCATGAGGGATAGAGGAGTAGGAGAATATACAGTATATTACAAAAATACCGAATAAGTCAAACAAAATCCATCTTTTGTTAGTTTCAACTTATAGGCACATAGAAGACTATTCCTCAGGATTCTGATAATCCTCTTGCTGGAATGACAATTGTAACAATGTACATTATTAGGATCCCACATCAGATAAAAATGGGTTGGCTCTTGGGCTAAAAAGAGTGAGTAACCAACATCACTTAATAGACTAGCCATTAAGGTTGTTGGTAAGCATCCAACCATGACAATATCCAATTTACTAACAACCTTCTTATATAATATAATTTATATTGATTTCTTAGCATGAGGAAATTCATGAATTAAGGATTGAAAAAGACACTGGTGAAATGATTCCATGTTTCCAAAGAAATTCCTGGCAAATAAACATGTAACCTGGGGTATAGAGGTTAAAGGAACATTTAAGAATCAATCAGATCTGATGATCACTAAATATACAGCTGACTTTACTTATTTCTCTTATTCCTAAATAACATTAATTATAATATACTTGAAACAGAGAAGGTAAGGGTAGATTAGTTATCTTACCGCTTGTAACTCCTCCTCATGCTTTGGAATGAAAGCAGTGTCCACTATGCCATTTTTGAAGTCCTGTGAACAAGAGCAAAATACGGTAATTTCGATAAAGCCAAAAACTTCAAGCCAAATCACATGGTATCTTTACTTTACTAGAAGATGTGCATTAAACATACAGATGACACTTTCTTACCTCAACATCAAGGATAAGTTTATGGTATTCAATGGTTGTTGGAACACCTGAATAAATAATTGGAAAAAGAAAAGAGAAATTGCTTAGGATATATAAGAGATCTTATGGAATGAAACAAAATTTTGATGGACCAAATGTACTGGAGATACATTTTACTCTTATTAGGTACAATTCATGTTACAGGAAAATAACTATGAATTGTCTTCTTTTTTTTATGGGGGGAGGGTTGAACAAAATGGCTCATAGCAAATCTTGTTGGATATTAGCTGTAGCAACTACCCAATAAGATATTATCACAAGAGTAAAGAGAACTGCACTTTGTCCTTAAAAATTTTTTTTTTTTTTCCCTCTATATGCAAACCAAAGGATTCAAGGGTATTCACAAGGAAGCAAATATGCCCAATCATAATGTAGCCAACAAACAAAAGGCTAGCATGAGAGGATAGGAACCATTTAAGGTAACACCGGCTGAAACCCCTTGCTTTTGCTAGCATGACAGGCAGCATGGACAAGAACTGCATTTTGTAATTGAAGCTTTCTTTTTATTTATATGCAAAGCACATAAAACTCTTAACTTTTAAAAGTATACAGACTTACCTGTAATGGTGGTGTCATTAAGAGCCCTTTTCATGCGCTCAATTGCCTTTTCCCTTGTTGGAGCCCACACAATAAGCTACAATAAGATAAATTTGCACATTTAATAAGAAGACCCATGTCAAATCTTAAACTTCAGTTAGATGAGCACTCAAAAATCTAGCATGGTAACTTCAGAGGATCAAATTAGCAGTTAGGGTGTTGAATCTAAGAACAAAGTATCATTCAATAACCTAATTACAGAAAATTATTAAACAAGGAGAGGCCAAACAAATTATTTAACTCAACCCACACTTATGTGTAAAAATAGATGACATAAACTACTCATACATGCACCTAACCACCAGAAAAAAGAAAAACAAGTAGAAAGACTATGATAAACCTTTCCAAGTAGGGAATCATAGCTTGGTGGAACCACATAATCAGGATAAACATGGCTATCCATTCTGACAAATGGGCCACCAGATGGCAAGTATGCAGTTATTCTCCCTGGTGTTCAAGAAAACAAGAAAATAACAATATATGAGTATATGAGTATATAAGGAAGTGAAAAAAAGAAATATCCCAACATATTTCATTTCTATTTACTTTTTATACTAAATCTTGATTTTCTGAAAATCTTGTTGGCGGTAGAATTAAATTGATATATTATGACAATGGTTCCAAGAGCAAAGAGCCAAAAAAACGGAGAAATATCTAATGGTACATAACCTAATAAAACAGAAAAAAACTGGCACATGGAATTTCAATGGCACATATACTTATTAAAACAGACAAAACTTGTAAAGGGAATTAATTCCAAGGCCCTATCAACATAAAAGTCATTCGGCATAAACTGCGTGCTAATTTGTATTAATGAAATAGATATTCATTCCATCACCTAATCCCATTGTTAACTAATCAGGTATAATGAATCATCACTATAGAAAGAGAGAATGTTGGCATAAGAGGAGCCAGTTACAAGAGTTAATTTTCACATGAACGTAAACACTACAGACAAGCTTATAACGAACATACCTGGTCCAGGTCGGAATCCTTTGAAAGGATCTTCTGCATTGATACGACATTCAATTGAATGTCCTCTGAGCACAATATCTTCCTGCAGGTCAGAGCCCAACAAAGCATTAAACAGACCGGTTTTTAGGGTGAGGACATATGTCTCAACTATCCCTTTCATGATACCTGTTTGTAGCGGAGTTTTTCTCCCATGGCTACACGAATTTGTTCTTCAATCAAGTCAACAGAGGAAATCATTTCGGTCACAGGATGCTCAACCTGAGTTTTTCCCAAAAACAAACTTTCCATTTAGTATGCCGTATTAGTTACCATATGCATACAGCTTTACAAATAAATCAACTTATATCATATCCTTAATCAAAGATTAACCTGGATACGAGTGTTCATTTCCATGAAGTAGAAGGAGCCTCTTTCATCCAACAGAAACTCAACTGTTCCAACACCAATGTAACCTATGGATGCTGCTGCTGCAACAGCTGCATCACCCATGGCTTTTCGCAACTCAGGGGTTAATGCAGGAGAGGGTGCTTCTTCCAGCAGCTTTTGGTTACGCCTCTGCATATGCGATTAGCGAATGTCAGACTACCTTAACAAACTCATAAGTCCAGTAACCCCTCAAAAAAATTTGTTCCACAAACTGTGAGGTTTGGGAAATTATCAGGGATGTGATTATAGACATTACCTGGATGCTGCAGTCACGTTCACCAAAGTGGACAACATTACCATATTTATCTGCAAGAACCTGTAAAGCCACAGGACACTAGCGTTACTTAAAAAGAACTGCATCATGCAATTAGAAATAAGAGGTACAAAAGAATATTACCCAATACCATATCAATCGGTACGATTTGTACATTACATGATTTATTTATTTTCCAATTTCCATTAACAAACACTTGTTCAGGTTTTCAGATCACTGCACCAATTCAACTCAAAATTTAGTAGTGCTGCACTGACCTACTTAGTGATCTTTCCCTAGGCAAAATTAAATATAATGTAGGCCACTTCTGAAGGAACTTTAACAGATTGATAACTTAATCTTACTTCATTTTGCTTCTTTCACCAATAAAAATGCTGCTCTTACGGATGTACTCATTTGCTTAAAAGCATATTTCAGAATAAATCATAATCGTACAATCCCACCCATAAAGAAGCTATAGACTTTGCATTTCATTTTCATTTTCATCTTCTTCCTTATTTACTATTTATTGATAGGACTACAATTTCTTTTTCTTTTTTATATGCATATTCTAAGCACCAGTAGGATCCTAATTCTTAGAGTTGGACCTTCAACCTAAAGTCCACACCACCATACTTACAGCACTTCAAGAGAGCAACTCTCGTTGGTTTCCTTCTTCAAATAAGTAGGCAGCAGGAAAAATTCCAAATTCCACCTCAAATGTCAATGCATACTGATATGCATTTCATATAAAAAGATAAAAGACCACACACGGTAATTAAACCTGGAATTCAATATGCCTTGGATTTTGGATGTACTTTTCCAAATAAACTCCATCATTTCCAAATGCTGCAGCGGCCTCACTCTTAGCTTGCTGTGAAATAAGAAAACAAACAAACTCAAGTTATAGGAAACTTCACTTAGACAATGAATAGAGTATCTATATTTTAATTTTTGGTAAAGTAAACAAAGATAATAAAATTTAAGCATATTATCTATTCAGCACTGAATGATTGAAATAAAATGTGACCGAAACAACCAATGAAACAAGATGAAGCAAGAAAAATGTTATGACATCGGAACTTTGACAAATCATATAGTGTTGAAGAAGTATATCAAGTTCCTTAGCAACATCAATTTAGAGACTACCAAATGAAAGCAAATAACGGTAGAAAAATGAATTTCAGAAAACAAAAACGCAAGAAATACTATAAAATGATGACCAGATGCAGCAAATAATGTTAAATAGATAGAGAGAGAAAGAGGCATAAAGACCAACCAAGAATTCATTTCACTTCCAAATTTGTTTGATGACTTAATTTGGTGTAACAAAGGATTATACATTGTTTCAGATCCAGAACAATGCTTCAACACTACAGAACCCTCCTAAATACTTATTTAATTAAAAAAAATTGATATTCAATTTTCATCATTTTTAACATTTAATCTTTCTATTAGACAACCAAAACATTGAAAGATCCAGCATATTGAACAAACATGTCTTAAATTGTCAGTATAAGACTTAACACAAAAGATGTTGGCCATCAGTTCTATAAACAATACAGACTAGGAAAAACATACATTTATTTGTGCAATAATATAATACTATCAGTGAATTGAGAACTTGTTCTGCAAAAAGTTTTATGAAATTCTACTGAAAAGAAACCCAGGAAAATCAAACTCAAAATTATGACAAACTGAAATTTTAAATGGATACATTCCTTGAATAACCCCATGGGAAAATTCACCTTAAGGGCCATACCTGAAGCAACTTCACAAATTCTTCAGGTTCTTTAGCAAGACGCATTCCACGTCCTCCACCACCTGCTGTTGCCTAAAAGCCATAGAAATTTTTTCAGATCAATGTAGTTTATAAAATTTCAATTCTTGTGCTTCATTTAACTGTATGTAAGTTCTAGGAACAAATTTAACAATCTCAAGTCTCAAAATACACACTTTACTCAAATCTTTCATGAGAATTTACATAAAACTATCAATATGGTTTGTTTTCTAATAGAAATAATAAACAATAATTACAAAAATAATAAATACTAAGCAAAATAGAGAATCAGTGAAGAATAAAATTTTAGAAATTTCTGAAAACCATTTTGAGGTAATAGACAGAAGGTAATTGGTATAACTTTTTCTTATAGGCAGAACAAGGCACTATAGCTCTAATTATCACAGAACAAGATACGAATGGTGCATCGTTAACCTTGATCATCACAGGAAATCCAATTTCATGGGCAAGCTTGACTGCTTCCTCCGTGCTCTGTATCAACAATTACCACAACAAATTGAACAAAACATTAGCAAAATTGCCCTTATCTCTACTTCTGTGAAGGTTTTAAGATCATAATACAGAAATTAATTGCCAAACGTGAAACCTGCAACAGTCCATCACTTCCTGGTACGGTAGGAACACCTGCATTCTTCATCGTCTCCCTTGCAGTTGATTTGTCACCCATAACTCGGATACTGTCAGGCTACCAAAATATAACCAGAATTCAACAACATATTCAGTAAAAAAAAAAAAAAGGCAAGGTCCTTTTAAGAAGGACTCATCCCATCTCCTATAGCACAACCCCCTGGTTTGAAGTAACTTACATTTGGGCCAATAAAATTGATTCCATGCTCTCTGCACATTTCAACAAACACCGCATTCTCAGCAAGAAACCCGTATCCAGGGTGCAGCATTGTGCACCCTCGACTAATTGCAGCAGAAAGCACATTCGGAATCAACAAATACCTACAGAAATACAATCCAACATATAAATTATGCCACAACCACGACCACGATCATGACCTATAAACAAGAATCCAAAAAAGGGGCAGTCAAACGTACGATTGGTTACTGGGAGCTTCGCCGATACAAACAGCTTCATCAGCCAACTTGACATGAAGTGCTTCCTTATCAATAGTAGAGTAAACGGCAACACAAGGAATCCCCATTTCATGAGCCGTCCGAATAACTCTCACAGCAATCTCTCCTCTATTAGCTATCAGAATTTTACCACCACACACAGCACTCAGAGCTCCGCCTCTTCTCTGTATTTGCCTAACTCGAAATTTAGCAGGCTGAGCTGTTTGCCTAGGAAACTTGATCCTACTACTTCCCGCCATAAAGCTGCATTGGGAGCTCCTAATTCCAGTACTCCTCCCAAACAATAACACCTTTTTTACAAAAATAAGATATGTATCAAGTTATTTAACTACATTGTGGGAAAATTAAATTAAAACCAAGTAAAGCAGAGGGAGGGAGAGTACTTACGGGAGGATTGGTGACGGATTTGCAGAGAGTGTTGATTGAGGCATCCATTTTGAGAGTTGAAGCTGAAATCTTTAAGAAAATTAAAGCTAAAACAGAAATGTGAAGGTGGAGAAGTTGAAATTTGAAGGGAGAAGTTGTCCTCGATGGAAACGAGGTGATGTGTGTTCGTTGAACGCTCCGCCTAATTTGTGTGAGTTTCGCACTCAATCGTTCAATCATGGGCCTAAAAGCCAGGCCCAATATGTACCTCTAAAGTCCCCAATTTCTTACTTGTAACGGTGAGGCCTTTCCCCTTCAAATAATAACTTTTGCTTATTAAAGAAATTAAAAACAAATTTTTTAATTAATACCTGTACTCTATATAACCCCTGGTCTCGTAGCCGATTGGTTTGATGTTGTGAGTCTGTGCATCCTTTAAATGATGGATTGACATATATTTTATGGAATTTGCTATTTGATTTGGGGCTGTGGTCCAACTCTGTTTATATACTGAGACGTTAGTTGATGTTGCCGTTTCGTCTTGAACTTTTGATGATCAAAGCAGGGATGTATTTTTGTTTACCCTTTTTTTCTCCTTCTGCTGTTAAAAAAGATAGACGTTTGTGTGAAACTTTGGAGGTCTTTAGAGAGCAGACTGGTTGTAGGCATTGTTTTTGTTCTGCTTTTGGTTGTTGTGTTTAACTATTTCCTAGCTAATTTGTTCATCATTATTGGTTGTTTGCTGAATATCAATAGAGCTCCATCTTTTTGCTTGTTTTCTTGGCTGTTGGTTGTTATTATTGCATTGGTTTGGTTGACTAATGGAAGGTTCCTATCAGTGTCATATTGATTAGTTGCTATTTCTTTTGCCTGTCTTTTTTAGTTGTTGTATTGAATTAATTAGTTCTTAATTTGGCTGAAGGTTATTGTAAAATCTTGTTTCAGGTCATAGCACATCTTGGAGATCGTCAACTTTGTGCATAACAAGAAGCAGCATTATTCCAGAAAGCAGCAGTTTTACCATCTTGGTTACCCAATACAACTCGTATTCAATGTATTTTTCTCTATGTATATATTACTAATCACATTTTGCTCTATGTATATTGAATCAAAATTCTGACAATGTCAATGATGTTTTTCCGCCAACTTTTTGTCATGCTACCCTTTTTTAATCTGTTGGTTTTAACTGTGCATTATTGAAGAGATTTGTATGCAGTGGCCATTCAAGATTTTTGCCCAAGGGAGACCTCCGCGGCTCTGCCATTGTTTGCCAAACAACTAGTGAAAACTTTAAAAAATATCAAACCTTAAGCAAAAAAAATAATACAATATTAAGAACCTGAGAGAAAATAATGTAATAACACAATACTTTTCTACTTGAATAAATCTATGAGAAACTAAATTTTGAGTAAATGTGTTAAGTAAATATTGAGCAAAACCTTATTTTATTTTTCATTTTTGGCTTCCAAAGATTATAATATAAGTTTTCATGACTTTGATCAGACCTAGCCTAAGCTAAAATCAACCAAAACTTAAATCAAGTCAATGTTGCATTGACTTTCAATATGAATTAATAAAAAAAAGAGAATTTTCTTGATATAAACATAGATAATAACTCAAATTTCTTTAATAATTTTGAGTAACTAATCGGTGACATTTGAAATGTAGGAAAGTGGTGGATGAAGGGTGAAGAATAACATTCTTTAAAATATAGTTAATGTTTTAATTTGGGAAAGCAGGTTCATTCTTAGACACAAAACACAAAATAAACTTAGAAGATCCATGTCTTATACCTTAAAATTTAAATAAAAAACCTAAAAAAAAAAAAAAAAAAAAAGCATAATTCAACCCTAAAATAAACTAAATTAAAATGAGCAATACACATACATAAAACTGATAAAACAGAAAACAAAGCTAATTGTGGCACCTTGATTAATGAAAGCTTCAACAATTTCAGTCTTCAAAAGTTTTAAGGGCGAATAGCATGAGAAAGAGAAAAAGAGAATAAGAGAGTAAAGAATTTTGGGGATAAAATCATAAAAAACAGGTGGAACAGTTGAGAAAAAGAGTGGAGAAAGTTTTAACTTTTAATATAATATGGGCTTGGAATATATATATTAATAGCAAGTTTTTTATGGGCCTAAATATATGTATAATAGTTCTCTTTTTTTTTAAATATGAGAGTGGGTATATTAGTAATTTTTTTAAAAAATCTGAGGGTAGGCTAGGGGCTAGATCTGTCCCTGTTTGTATGAAATCCCAAATTTCGTTTGCTTTCTATTGAGTAAAATTCATTGTGATTCTGCAATCTGGATTGTTATTGGGTTAAAATTGACAGAATCAATGTAATATAATTTTAGCTTAGTTTGCAACACTTGTAGGGACAAAATGGTAATTGCACATGTCTCAAAATTTCACATTCTCAGACACTTATTCATTACAAACATTAGGGACAAATTTGTCATCTAATTTTTACACATTGTTGGGGATATTGGAGTATGGTAAATAGGTAATTGGCTATATTGACTTCACATATAATAATAAAAAAATTTTAAATTTAGACATTCAAGGGTATTTTTGTCTTTACAGTGAGTATCACTATTTTTAACGGAATCTGTTAATGGAATTATTGCTTTGGGCACTAAAATGGTATTTTAAAAGTCTGTGGGTGGGAAATGTCATTATGTCATTTTTGGGTGGGAAAAAGTCATTAACTCTTCCGTTAATATCCAAAATATACTTTATTTTCTCAGTCGACGTTCAACGAGTTACCAGGAGCTGGGGTAAGAAGGGTTTTGTAGAGTGAATGTCAGTGGATCGAATGGTAGTAACCGAATCATTTGAAAATAATTCAAATGTTGTAAATTATGTGTTTTTTTAGAATTAAAAATTATTTAATAATAATTGATATATTTCAATCTAATTATTTGGGAGAATTTAATTAAAAATAATTACTATATATATAGGAAGATTTTGCAACACCTATGTTTTAATACAGATTTAAACACAAATTTATGTTATTAGATTAAACCAAAATAGATGGTCAAGATAAAGAGTGAGTGAAAATAATATTTTCTAATATTCATGATATTAAGTTACATAAATATATTATCTCACCTCATTAATGGTAAAAAAGTAAAAAATAAAATAAAATAATAATCTCTCTCATTAATTATAAATCAGCTTTTTTTCTCATATTTTCTTTTCCACCGGCAATCTCTTTGTTTCACTAAATTTTTTTATTTTATTTAATATAATATAAAACAAAATCGATAGCACACCTCTTTAGTTTTACACTTATGATTAACCTCTAAATTAAGGTTAATCAATAGTCAGAATTGTATTTCATTTGCAGTTTTATTTAATGATACTTATCTTAAAAATTGTATTATGTTAGCAATCATAACCTTATTTCCTTTTATGATATTGGATTGTATGATTTGTGAGTATATATATTATAAATATGTATATTCATATAATTCGAACCAGATGAAGCTTTGATCTTTTATCAAAGAAAAAAGAACATATAGTTCTTGTATGATTTCTAATATTTTCTTTTGGAAGAAAGTACGTATATCTTTCATGTTTCAAGAATGACTAATACATTGAAGAATGTGTAAATAGACATTTAAGGAATCGATCTATTCTATTTCTATTTGTTCCATTAGAAGAATCTAACGATCTCAAAGAATCAATCTTTTTATTACCTATTGAACCTCTTTTCAATTGATCAAAACAATACATCTGAATTCTCATCACCAATACAATTGAAATGTTCTCATGATTAACCAGAAGATCCTTGATACCATAGAAACTAATACCTATCTGCTTTATAAACAACAATAACATGATTAAATTTATATTACAACATATTTTAAGTTGTTGAAACAGAGATGATATCTAAACAATAACAAACTGATAATTGTCAAAGATTTCATATGTACATAGAAGAACAACTCCAATAACACCATCCATCGTGATCGATCTCAATTGCATCACAAATGTCAATTGGAAAATTTTCAATTTTATGACAAATTAACACAAAATAATTAAAATACTGTAATCAAATCAAAGAATCATACCCACAAATTGATATATTTAACATGACAACATATTAACAAAAAAAGGAAAATTTGAGCAAAGGTGTTTCCTTTTCCTTCTAAAGTCATTAATACGACACAAAACGTCCATCACTGTTTCCTTTGGAAGCTGATCAATAATATCATCTATTTTATACATGAACCGAATAGTATTCAAAACAAATTTCAAGGAAATGGATGTGATAACATAGGAAAAAAGGTTGAATTTGGATTTATGTTTCTAGTTATCAAAAGTTTTTTTACTAACGAGCCACAACAATTGCACCTATCAAAGCAACTAAAAGAAATTTGAAATCAGTTCAAATGGAAGAAAATATGTCCGTTAATAAATAAATCCCAATTTATTAACTATAACTTATCAATTCTTCCTCTATAATTTGGTTGGCTTGGGTAGTCCAATACTCCAAATAATCTGATACCACAAAGTATCTAGAATGGTAGTGATTACCAAAAAAAAAAAAAAAAAAAAAGGTTAACCCAGCACAAGGTATAGGAAAAAAAAACAACCCTGTCCAGTGTCCATTTCAAAGGAAAGTCAATTGCTCGATAAAGATGAAGTTCCTCTTTCGCACTGCAAGAAAGCAACAAATGAAGAATCAGTGCACTTTGTCCAATAGTTTTCTTACCCCCTTAAATGAGGTCCTTCAACCTAAAGAATATACAATAGTTTGAAAAGCGCACTACATGCCAAAAGCCAAATTCCCTGTTTTCAAAAACAGAGTGGTTGAAAATCAAACTGGTATAGCATTGAACTTCTACTCGGTTCGTAACACTTTTTTTTCCTCTTTTTCAACATCAATTGACCATTCTATAAGAATTATACATTTTTATGATCATATTAGTACAGGAGAATAATGGCATACTTGACCGAGTGAGAGATGCCAATCCTCATCTAGAGCTATGTTTAGTTGCTCCCTTGTCCAATATCCCCTTGCATCGAAATCGAATTCTCCGTTTCATAGAATAGGTAAAAAACATCTCCCTTGTTATGCCTAAAAAATCAAGGCTGATGTAGGCTTACGTCAGCAAGGACCAATCAGAATTCAGTAAGGCATTGTACCATCCAAGCGCTGCCACGTCGCCCAAGGATAAAA